TAGATAGTATTTCTCCAGTTCTTCAGTTGCTCATTATATATATATACATATATATATCTATATATATATATATCTCCAGCCTCCAAAAATCCATTTTAAAGAAACACTGTTCCTTAAATGCACAACTGCACAATGTTACAAGGGTTTTATATGTGCACCCCCTTGTAAGCTTAAGAAACATGGTTAAGTCGCACATGAGTAGACATGTAACATCACAGCTTTGCAGTATAAAGTTCTCAGGGCCAAAATCAATCTACATGTAATTCTGCATCATTATGGCTTGAACTAGCCCCTTTTTCAGTAAGGTCTTAAAACCACAGTATTTATAGCATCCTGCAAAAACTTAATAATGGAAAGTAAATACACAAGCCTCAGCTGGTGCAGAAAATCCTGTAACATCTTTCCATAGGAGAACACAACAGTTTTGCACTTAAGTCTAAAGTTCATTTATTCTGACAAATTCAGGTTATAGAGTAAAACATGCTTCTTCAATGAAGCCAAGACCACGTATGATTTCCATAACCCTTAACTCATTCATTTTCATCTTGAGTCTTCTTTTCATTACATTATCCCCATTATCCCCCCCAGATCTTACCTTTTTTTTTTTTTCTTTTTTCTCCTCCTTGCTGTTATTCTTTTGTTTCAGGTGTCTAGATTAATAAAGAGAACTCCTAATAATTATCTATATAAAAATTGCCTTAAAAGAGAGAAAGGTAGGGGCCTTAACCAGGAATTATGAGTTTTCATATAATAGCCTTTTCCCCAAATCTGGTGCTATTTGCAATGTATGAAAACATTCATCTCCATAAAAGAAGTGAGAAAAAAATAACAAGACAGGATTTTGATCAATACCAATTCTGATTAAGTTTGATCACAGAAGTTGACATTTTGAGCAAGTCTGGAAGTACTCTCATAGAAAACTGAGGATCTGTTAAGAGTCTTTAGCAGTGTAACAGGACACTACTGGCTTGGGCAGAGGATATTCTGTCTACTTTTTTTGCCTTATATGGCTTTAATAAGGTAATAAAATGCATTAACTTAATTCTCTAATTAATACATTGCCAAACCTTGAGTAGTGTTGTTATATTGCTGATTTATTTTGAAGGAATGCTAAACACTCACACGTCCTCCAGTCCTCAGCAAACATCCCTCTTTATACTGAGCATAACATTTATGGTATGGGATGTCCCTGTGAGCCAGCTCAGGTCAGCTGCCCTGGCTGACTCCAGAGTGCTAATGGCCTGCAGACCAGTGAAACTAGATTAATAGATTAAAAAATAAATAAAACACTAAAGATATTTTTAAAGTGTTTGAGATCGTTGTATGAAAAAATGGCCATCAGGTGCCATCAAAGTAACAGCCAGGGAGCTGGTGCAGGGATGGGCAATATGTCACTTTTAGAAAGATCAGTGTTTATTTATATGCTCATACGAAAATATTAGGGAAAGTTTTATAGAACTTATTTTTTTCAAGCTGCAGAAAATGAGGTTCATGAAAAAATGCATTCACTAATCATTACACGCATAAATGAGCAAGAGTGTTGTTAATGATTCCTTCTTTTCTGGAGGCCCCTATTACAACATTAAAATGTGAATGGAATAGATTTAGACACCTAATTTTGGTGGGTTTGGGATCCAGAACTATCTTCTATTCATTGCACCTATCTCTTTTTATTGCTACATGGTTCATAAAAGAAAGCTTGCTTAATAATAATTTTTAAAATGGAGATTCTAAGCAACAAGTGTTTTAAAGCTAGCTGCCCTAGTTTTAAACTGATTTTTCTAAAACAGTCAGTCTCCTTCTTTATCTCTTCTTTATCCCTTCTCACAGCAGACAAAAGTCTTTCTGAGATATCAAATCAGGAAGACTCAACTCTATGTAATTCTTGTACTGCACCCAACACTGCCCTGTTTGAGGGCTTCCCACGTATATATTAAACAATGTGACTAACGTCTATCGTTTGGGTTGTGGTTTGTTTGGTTTATTTTTGTTTTCCTCTCATCTTCTCCAGGGGGAGGAGTTTATTCAGGGAAGTGTTTTGTTTGGAATTTACTTGATTTATTTTGTGCTGTACATAGGTATGTTGCAGTGTGTTTTTTCTTAGAGAAACAAAGTCAAGCAAATGCATTTTGCACTAGAAAAAAAGGTGGTAACTTTTGTGAGAACCCTTCATCCACGTGGGAATTCATTAACAGTTTTAGCTGACTGGTTCCCCAAGGAATCTCTGGTACATGAGCTGTACCCTTCTTCCTACAGGAAGTCCTAGTCCGCCAGGGAGGAAGCATGATCCTGGTCTCTCTCCAGAGGTCTCTGTAGTCACCATGGGCTCAGGCCACTGAGCATCCCAAAAGAAAAAACTGCGACTTTTGTTTCTGAAACTCATCTCTGAGTGTGAGCCTTCTGCTGATGATACAATTAGAAGATAAATCTTGAATGGCTATCACTGGATCAGAACTGATAAATACTTTGGTTAAAAAAGATGAAAAAAATATTATGTATACCAAGCAAAGGGTTGGAAAAATGATTGAGAAGGGGAGGTTTATTTTATGAACTCTGATTATCTTGTGGTAAACAAACTTTCATTTTTATTTAGAACAAAGCAATCTCTATCATTAAGGCACTCCTAATCAACAAGCTCATCTGATGAGATGATGTAGGATTTACTTATATATCAAAGGAGTTCCCTAGACATTCGAGGGATGCAACAGAATACAATTAAAAGATCAGCTGTAAGCATAGTTTGTGATACAGTTTGTTAGCTGTGCTTTGTGAGAGAAGTTTAGTTAATAACATGTGAACTCATGGTATTTTTAGTAGATAGTAAAGTATTGAAGTGTATTACAAGAAGAGCTTTACCATTTAGGCCTACTAGACATGCAACTCTTCAGCTATCTTGGATCTGATGGTCTGTAAAAAGAGAACAGAGAAACTATTAAGCCAAGGTTCACATCCAAGAATGGAATCATTTACGAACAACCTTTCTGGGCCTAATTTGTTGCTGAATTAAACCTCATGTAATGTCATTGAAGTCAATGGGGTTATGCAGAGCATAAGTCAGTGGAGCAAATTAGCCCTCTGTCTTGAAGCCAAGAAACCAAAGGAAAGAGCGATCCAATAAAACAGAGATTAAATGCTGATATTAGCTGAATGCCACTGTTCTTGGTACAGTGCGTTCTTTGTGTCCAGCAGTGAATATTTCATCCTTCCCAGGTGTAAAATCTTCCCAACAGCACTATAAGGCAGATTTGTAATAAATGACAAATTGAATGGTTTAGTTCTCCTGTAATGCAGCTTCTTGGCTCCCAACAGGAATGTAAGCAGTTAGCAGACATCTCTGCTGGCTACAAGTCTTGATCTCTTCAGAAAAGTCTTGGGGCTGGCCTTTTCATTTTAACTCTAGCCATACAGACGGTTAGAATCTGACGTTCATAGGTACGGAGAGCTTTTGACATAGAAAACTAACAGAAATACCAGGAATATCTGTGTAAGACCTGGAGAAAATGAGGCATGGTCACTGCCTCAGATATGAAGGCACTAGGAAACAGAATGTATTTGTTTATGTTTCATGTATATGGGTAAAATTATGGGTTCTAAGAACCCACAATATTGCAGTGATTGTAGGTTCTAAGAACCCACAATATTGTAGGTGTGCCTTGGATTAATGAAAGATGAAAGCTCAATTTGCAGCAACCAGCATTCATAAAAACATGTGGTCCTCACCCTTTATACTGTCTGACCCACTGATTACTTTGTCTGAAATTAAGATCATTATCTCCCTCAGCTGGAGATTACACATTTTGCACCGCTCACACACAGAGTTCAGTCCTGGCTGTAGCCTTTAGGCATTTTTATTATCCAGGTAAAGAGCCAATTCCCAAAGTCTACAGTTGAGTTTGCAGCTCATGAAAAGATCTGTTTGAGGTGACCTGTACAGAATAACACATTTTGACAGCACAGCTCACTTTTCACTGAAAAAAAAGATCAAGCAACCTGAATTCTTTTGACATCCTATCATGTAAACTTCAGTCATGAGCCAAAGGATGAAAAACAGTTTGTTGGTAATCAGTAAACTCTCCAGACCTGTATGTAAGGGAAGCTGTTTAAAGCATGCAATACATAGCACACACTACTGCTCGAATATTTGTTCTAATGCTTCTGGTGTAACTTCTCAGCAATGACAGAACTTGGTGAAGGAACTAACAAAAGATACATGATACTTGGCTCATGGCACGTATGATACTGGCCATTTATTCCTTTTATTTTTTCAGGTGATAGCTTAAGATAAGCAATCTGCCATGGTACTGAGGAACCACCCTAGATTTTCATTTTCTTTAAATCCAGTTGCTTCTGTTTACAATTCACTTCTGGGCATGCTCTGAGAAGGGAAGGAAGGGAAAATATATAAATATGCCAGCTGCAGCATGAGATGCTGATATAAACACATCCAGACCTATCCAAAGTGCTAGATATGTCTTGAGGCTTGGGGGCTATTGCAGATAGGGGAACAAGTCCCACTAATCCACAGCCCTAATGTGAAGTGATAAAATATGACCATAAAATTGCTTTACAACTGCAATGAATTTGTCCTCAGTTTAGCTGGCAGTATTATACTAAAAAAACAGAGTTCTGTTAGAGGGTCGAGTTTTGTTGGATAACAAATCTAATTTTGATAGAAATATTTACATCTTCAGTGGCTAAAAGCCCATCCATACATTGTGTTTTCTGGTTATCAAGAATTAATATAAACCAGTTAGGTAACCAAAAATTTTTGATCCACTTTTGGAAGTTTTATTGAAGGGTGTGTTTTTCAGGAAAAATGCAAAATTCCCCTGAGTATATCCAATTAAAATTGCCAAACTGTTGTGAAGAATTATTATTACCTCATCGAACAGAGTCTGGTGATTTTTGCTATTTCTGTTTCTGTTGTGGCTTTTCTAAAACCAACTCTTATTTCTCTATTGTATTTACTTTATTTCTAATGCTATAACATTTTGTTTCAGCTGGCGGGCTTCATCTATGCCTGTTATGTTGTGAAATGTATTACTGAAGAAGAGGACAGCTGTAAGTACTAAAGCTTTATTACATACAAAACAAATTCTTTTTTAAATCACTCCTCCACTGTACTGGGTCTTGCTGACTTCAACCTAAATGCCTTATTATAGTGTAGCCAGAACATTCTTTCTGTCTGTCCTTCTGGATCTATGAAATGCTGGGGTTTGAACCCTGAGCCCCTGAATTAAGGTTGACATATGGGTGATTCCCAAAGTCCTTCATAAAGAGGAGGTGAGTTTGCCTTATAGCTTCCCCCCAGGGTGCGGCCGGCCCTGCAGGGAGAGCCATAAGGGAAATGAGCCCCAGGGGTCCC